TTGATTATCACACCACCCATCCTCACCCAAAATGCCACCTCACAGCGACTCCTGAGCGAGTTTGAGGCGCTTTCCCTTGTTTTTGCAGGCGCGTGGAGGAGGGTGAGGCCGGGAGAGGGCTGGGGCACAGCTCCAGCCGCCCAGCTGGCGGCCGCCCGCCGCTCTCCATCACCCGCCACAGGGAAAATCAGCACCCTCCAGAGAAGAAAAGCTCATTGAGAGCAAAACTGGCGCGAGGGAAACGAGCTCCTCTCTCTCTCTTGAATGGAAATGAAAGGGAATAAATGAGATATTCTTCGCGCGGGGAAATTATCCCGGCGCTCGCTGTTCCCGGCGGGCTGGGCGAGCCAAGCACAGGCACCAGCTCAGGGCTCTGTGGGAGAGGGGAGGCTGAACAAACCCTTCACTCGGGTGTTTCCAGCAATCAAGCAAGGACTAATCTTTTCTCAGGGCCCAGTCTGCCCCCAAAGAGCAGCTGGAATTAAGACAGAGCACGGGAGAGAGGCTGGAGCAGATCCACCTCCCTGTGGGGCAGCAGCAAATGGAGCCATCGATCCCCACGGAAACATCAAACTATCGACATCAAACTATCGACTTCCTGACACACCAGGACGATGTTTAACCACTGTCTGGGCAGCTGCCCCCCCTCTCTGGCAGTGCCCCCCCCAGCAGGGACACCTTCTCCGTGCAGGATGCTGGGGATGCTCCGGGATAGAGCCAGGCTGCTCCATCCGTGTGTTGGATTCGTGGTGACACAGGGGGGTCAGTCCTGAGCAGGTTGAGGGGGCACAGAGCCAGGAGGGGGCACAGCTGACCCCAACTGACCCAGGGGTGTCCCAGAGCAAAGGATGCCACGCTCAGCAATGACAGTTCGGGAAGCAGGAGGAAGGGAGGGATGTTTGGAGTGATAGTGCCTGTCTTCAAAGAATCACAGAATGGTTTGGGTTGGAAGAGGCTTTACAGACCTTCCAACCCAAACCCCCTGCTGTGGGCAGGGACACCTTCCACTAGACTAAGTTGCTCCAACCTGGCCTTGGACACTCCCAGGGATCCATGGGCAGCCACAGCTTCCCTGGGCAACCTGAGCCAGGGCCTCCCACCCTCCCAGCCAGGAATTCCTTCCCAATATCCCATCTGACCCTGCCCTCCAGCAGCTTAAAGCCAAGTCACTACCACCCACGACAAAGCCCTGCTACTCTGGGCTGGCTGAGCACCTGCCCCTGGGAAGCAGGGACTGAGTGCCTGAGTTTTCTTGGGGTGTGTGTCCAGTTTTGTCAGCCTGTTAAGCTGCTTTATCTCACCCCACCAATTTTTTCAGTTTTTCCCTTCTGCTTCTCCCCAGACACACACCGAGACCCAGGGGCTGGTGCCAGTGGAGGAGGGTGGGCTGGGGTCACGTTCTCAGCCATGAGATCCTGCTGTCCTGCCCTTCATTCCTTAAGTTGTCCAGGTAGAGAAGTCAGAGACAAGCAAGAGGTCTGATGCAGAGAGGCAAAACAGGCCTTGTTTGCACCAAATTTGACACAGCAGCTGAGGAGGTCTGATGTGTTCCTTGCAATTCTTGAATCCTTCACCCCTGACCACCTTCTCTTCCCTTCTCTTCCCAGATTCCTTCCCAGCCTCTGTCAGCTCCTTCCTGCTGTCTCCTCCTCCAGTGTATGGTTTGCATCACACCCCCCCTAGGCCAATGCTCTGGCTGTCCCCTCACAGCACCCATAGCAGGAATAGCATCCGGGCTCCCCATCATTCCTTTAAGTGTGTTTTAAATGTGATGCTCCTTTCCCTTTCCAGGTGGTAACATCTCGAGTCTCCTGGCAGCGCTCTGTGGGCACTTCAGTAAATGCCAAGATTTCTCTGCACACGTTTTCCTTTATAAGCACAAAGGGATTGCCCTTTTGTAACATGGATTTTTGTGCACTCCCACTTCCAAAGGGGCTCCTGCAATTCACTGGGAAAAGAAGCCTGTGAGAAATGTCAGTGCCTGCAAATCCCAAGGGGCACAAGGGATCGAGGCTGATCCACACTTGGTACCAAGGCCCCTCATTATTGTGAGCAGCACAAGAACTCAGCTCTCCCACTTCTTAGAACAAGACCACTGGCACCCAAAAAAAGGAGCTATTCATTTCTTGTTTGATCAGTCACAGGTTGGACTCGATGATCTTAGAGATCTTTTCCAATCTAAATGATTCTGTGACTGTTCCAGTGGCACTTAAGAATCGTGTTTCGAGGTCTCCTGCCATTAAAAATCAGAATAAACTCTGAGGGTTTTCATGCGTTGCTTTGATTGGGTTGAGACCATCAACCACAGGGTGAAAGATTTCGGATGTCACAGCCTCAGGACATAATTACCTACAGCCTCAGGACACCCCACCATCCTGTCAGACCTCAAGCCAATCCTGCCCAGCCCTTTAAACCACCACATCCCAGAAAATACAACCTTTCACCACCCAAACAATTAGACACTGCTACAAATAACAGGACAGCCCCACACCACGACCCGGAGGCATCACACCTCCACTTTCCCAGATGAAAACACCAACTGTAAAGGCACAGACCAGCAGAACCCCCACAGCAGTTCCCAGCCCTTCCCTGGATCGGCCCCGAGCGTCTCCACACCGCGCAGGGAATAAACCACTCACCGGGTCCTGCCCTGCTCCAGCAGCCCTGGGTGGGGTCAGTGGCAGGGCAGGATTGTCCCCCATGTCCCCAATGTCTCCCCATGTCCCCCCACACCCTCTCACCCAGCGGTGCCTGGCCCGGCCGTCGGGGCAGAGGCAGTACCGTGCTGCTCCTGGCTCGGGCTCGTCCCCGCTTGTCCCTGCGCTCCGCCAGCCACCGGCACAGGGAGGAGCCCATGGCCCCACGCTCTCCGTGCCCCTCTCACCCCGGATCCAGCTGCTGGGAGGCTGCACACGCAGGCTCCTCTCTCTCCCTCTCCCAGGGAACGGCGTCGATCCGTGCCGGGCGAGTCCCGACGCCGCCGGCGCTCCGGCATCGCTCCGGCATCGCTCCAGCCAGAGTGAGCACGTCACCCACTCTCAGCCCTCCTGGCACTGCCCCTTGGGCTGCCCCTACCTCCTGCTCACCCACCACACCCCCCAGGAGCTCCTCTCCTGCCCCCCTAAATGCCACAGTGCCCACAGGCCCTGGGAAAGCGGCACCCAAAGGAAACGCTCCCGACGGAGGAGCGGAGATGCGGGATCTCAGATGCCGGGTTCGACCGGCAAGGGATGGTTTAAAAATAAGGAAACAACGCGAAGGAGGTTTGGGGTCAAGTAGGAATTAAAGTGGAGATGAATTGAATATTTAATGCAGCCCGTCTGGGGCTGCTGAACACCCGCAGGGAAATCCCGGGGTGCTGCCACCGGGTCTCCCAACGCCAGGAGCCCCCAGCGCTCCCTCCAGCAGGAGAACTCCCAACTCCCCTGGCAGGGCTCAGGAAGACCATGATTCACGTTTCCTGGCGCCAGGGAGATGCTGAGAGCTTTCCAGATCTGCTGCCTGGATATTCTTATGCCACCAGACAGAAGCCTCGTGACTTTAATCTGCGTGAGCCAGACCCGAACCACATCAGCGTTTTGTTCCGCGCTTCTGCAGCTCTGCAAACCCACGACAGAGGGCCTGTTCCTCCCCACAGCCTCTGGGGGAGGTCAAGCCCTTTGGGAGAAGGTTTTCTCTCTCTCTGCTCTATGTTTGTGGCTCCACCAAGCTCAGATCTTGCTGTTCTACCTATTTAACACCCACAAACGTTGCCTGCCTGTCTCCTGCAGAGCAGATGTGACCACCACACAGACTGGCACAGGAGCCAGGGACAGATGCCCCATGCCCAGCAGCAACATGGGCTGCCAGGAGGCTGAGGAGGAGCCACAGGACTGCCAGGAGGCCAAGGAGGAACCACAACCATCACCTTGCACAGAGGGTTTACAAGGAGCTTGTGATAACCAGTAACAAGAGATCCTGGCCAGTTCCACATCCCTCCTAAACAAGAGTTCCCAAAGCCTCTCTGCACAGCCCCCCTCTAGCACAGATCCATCCCCAGGAGTCTCTCCAGGTGCTGCCAGAGCCCATCTCCTCCCTCCTGTCCTCTATTTCCCACACACCACTGGTCCCAACCTCCCAGGAACCACCAAAGTCCCCCCGTGCCACCTCAAGGCACAACTATGAGTGGCAGCAGAAACCTCCTGGTGGTTCCAGACCTCTCCACAATTCCTGTCCTTAATTTCTCAGGGAAGAAGTGGCATCATGGGACAGGGGACCACCGCAGCTGTCCAGGGGAGGGGCAATGTGAGAGGGGCCCGCCAGGTTTGGTCCCCTTTAACATCCCTGACCCTCCAGGTGGGGCGTCCCTGGCTGCAGAGCCCGGTGGTTTTGGGGCCTTCTCTCCTCCCAGGAGATGCCCACACAGCCCCTGCTCTCCAAACATCCCAAAGGTCTGTTCACTGCCGACCCTGACGTGCTTCAACCGCTGCCCATGACACGAGGGGGCTGCAGGAGACCAGGAACACTCCCCACTTCCCACATGGATATCACCAGCGAAAGCACGACCCAAAGAGCCCCAAAGAGCCGGGTTACAGCTGGAGACAAAGCAGCTGGAGGCAGAGGCTGGGGGAGGGACGCCGAGCTCCTCAATGTGCCCCATTGTGCTCTGCAGGCACCGCGACTCCTCCGTGCTGGGGAATGAAGCTGCTCTTCGGGAGGCCCATCACGAGTTCCTCGGCCTCAGCACCCCGTGGATGCCGTCCCCGTGCCTTCCCACCCACCCCAACCACGCTCCTGCCTGCTGGGACACAATCCAGGCAGGTTTATTCCTGTGTGTGCACCCACCAGGGCTCCACGGGGGCATCCTCACTGAAACCACCCAGGTCTGGGCACACACCACCCGTTTCCTGTGATTTCTTTGCAACCTGATAAGCAAAGTGGGTGCTGAAACATCCCCAAATTCCCTCTGGGTTGAAGGAGCCAGCGGGGCTTTGAGCTTGGCAGGCAGACTGCAGCCTTACCTTCGTGTGGAGCTTGGCAAACTGCTTGTCATCCAGCAGGGCCTGGGTGTACACACGGCGTTTGTACCGGAACTGTGGGAAGGAACAGGGACAGACGTGAGCTGAACAAATCCCACTCAGCGGCCAAACCGCCCCAGAGAGGCTCCAGCTCGGAGGAACACGCTCAGCCCAGGCCTGGAAACAACAACAGATACGGAATAGGCCGTTCTCCATCATCATTAGCCCTGATGGTTAATTGCTTTCCTCATTAAAAACGTCCTGACTGGTTTTTTCAGATGAATCTGTCTGGCTTCGGCTTCCAGACGGTGTGGGTTTTGTTCTGCTCCTTCCCAACTAATTAGGGATCTCTCTAACAGCAGAATGGTTTTCCCAGGGCGGTTCTTACACTGTGGCCTGGAGCTGACTTCCTTGGATACAGGCTGAGCTCTGAATCTCACTGAGAAATCTTCTCTTCCATCCTCGGGACATTCGTGCTGCTCTTTTCCGTGCTGTGCCGCTTCCCAGCGTCCTTTCAAGTGCTCTGACCACCCACACAGCACTCCAGTACCAAACACTTCCACCCAAACCTTCCTAAAACCCCCTCACTGCTGGCTGAAGGATCAGAGGGTCAGCTGGGCCACAGCATCTCACCAGGAATTGCTGATGGGTTTCTGGAGCAAAGGAATCAAAATTTTTCTTTGGAAATTTTGTTTTCCGCAGTGAGAGTCCTTCCTGTGCAAGCCATCCTCGTCCCTGGATATCCATGGAATGGTTTGGTTGGAAGGGACCTTAAAGCCCATCCAGTGCCACCCCTGCCATGGGCAGGGACACCTTCCACCAGACCAGGTTGCTCCAAGCCCTGTCCAACCTGGCCTTGGGCACTTCCAGGGATCCAGGGGTAGCCACAGCTTCTCTGGGAAATCCATTCCAGTCCCTCCCCACCCTCCCAGCCAGCAATTCCTTCCCAATATCCCATCCATCCCTGCCCTCTGGCACTGGGAAGCCATTCCCTGTGTCCTGTCCCTCCATCCCTTGTCCCCAGTCCCTCTCCAGCTCTCCTGGAGCCCCTTCAGGCCCTGCAAGGGGCTCTCAGCTCTCCCTGGAGCCTTCTCTTCTCCAGGGGAACCCCTCCAGCTTTCTCAGCCTGGCTCCAGAGCAGAGGGGCTCCAGCCCTGGGAGCAGCTCTGGGGCTTCCTCTGGATTCAGTTCAGCAGCTCCACATCCTTCTTACGTAGGGGGTCCACAGAATTCCAGGTGGGCTCTCCCAAGAGGAATGTTTGTATTTTGGCTCAGAGCACCCTCAGATGCGACCCCTGCTCAGAAATTTGTATTCTCTGTGAAACTTTGCTGCCTGCCACCTGACTTTAATCAGCAGCCATTTTCCACTCACCCCCACATCCCTGGGGCACCAAAATCCAGCCTGACACCATTCCCTGAGGAACCCACCCCACGATCACAGTGACAGCTGCCTTTTGTCACCGATCCCTCAGCTGGTGCCACTCATCCCGCCGGGGTTTCATGTGCTAATCCTGAACCTGAGGATCATGTCGAACAGAATCAAGTACCCCCAAGTGGCTGCTACCTTTGTGTTGTTATCTCTATCAAGCAGAATTACAATTTCCTCGGGGAATGCAATTGGATTTGTTTGACTAGATCTCCTTTCAAGGCACAAATTGTATTCAGAGATTTTGAATTGCTGCGAACTTAATCCTCCATCAACATTTCCATTATTTCAGCTGGAACTGACACCAAGTTATCTTTGGACTGCAGTTACTAAGCTCATCCCACTTACTTTTCAGTGCTGGCAAAATATTAGCACATTTCAGTCTATCACAAGCCTGTTCTACTGGGCACACATTTGCTCACGGAAAATTGAGATTTTTCCATCATCCCGAGGTGAAAGTTGTGTTTTCCACACATTTACAGGCGTTGGCACTTCGTGGGTGCCAGGCAAAATTCCCACATGAGGGGAGTCACCTTCTTGCTGAACCCCAAGGGGTCTTTCAGCAAAAAACCTAAAAATCATAAAATCCCGGAATGGTTCGGGTTGGAAGGGATTATTAAGGATCAATCTCATTCCAAACCCTGCCACGGGCAGGGACACCTTCCACTAAACAAGGTTGCTCCAAGCTCACCCAACCTGGCCTTGGACACTCCCAGGGATGGGGAATCCACAACTTCTTTTGGCAAATCCTGGCGTTACGGGATTTACGTCTCGTGCACAGATTCCGGATTTTCAGTTTTCCAGCAGGATCCCCCGGCTCTCAGCCGCCAATCCCATCGAGTTACGAAGAATCAAAATGACACACAACAAATCCCCATGTCAAGCCTGCATTTGGATGGGCGTGTGAAGACATTAAGCGTGGACATTATGCTAAATTATACAAAAAAAAAGCGCCGTGCAAGGAACATTAAGGAATTTACCACCTCCCAGGTCTATCTGCAAGCGTTCCTAATGCCATTCCAAATGTTTTTGTCTACACTGGAACGAGTTTGCCAAGAAATTGTGCTGCACTTTCTTTCCAAATTAGGCAGGATTAGGTATAATAACAGCGTTCGCTCCTGCATTTGTAAGAGCTTGTGCAGCTTAAGCGTGTAATGCTTCCTAAACTGACTTTGGGGGGGAAATACAGCACAGAAACCCTAAATTTAGCGGTCCACTCGCAGGTGACTGGAGTCCCATCACAGCCAGTTCGTGGTGATGTTTAACAGAGCCCAGGAAATGCTGAGGTCACCTTGGAATAAACACCTGAATCCCAGGAAATGCCTACCGGGAGCGGGAACACACGAATTCAGTGAGTTTCTGCTCTTTCAGGGACACAGGATGGGGCTGAGGATGCTCCAGGGCCACCACACAGGTCAGGTCCACGCAGGGATTTGCTGCCAAAGCACTGCCTGTGTTCCAGTCTCTCCAGGAACTGGAACAAAACGTAAACCCAGAGTCCTTCAGCCTCATATCCGAAGATCTTCCTGGGATTCTCCCTCTGCTCCCAACAAAACCAGCCCTCCTCCTGCTGTTGCCACTTGCCAGGACAGTTAAACCTCGCTAAAAGAACCCCAGGAGTTTTGATGAACAGGGTGAAAGGCAGGGAAGCTGCTCCACGGGGCTCTGATGGATGTTCTGGAGCTCTCGAGCAACTCAAACTCCGAGGTTTTTGCCTCCCCTTTCCCTGGGTGGATTCTCCAGGAGCAAACACACTCCCACACAAATATCTCTGCCTTCGCTCCTGGAAGGGGGACAGGGGGTATTGATACTTGTGGTGCCTACAGGGAGTGTGGTGGAGGGATTGGGGAAGTCCTGTCATATGTACGCGTGTGTTTATGGCTATGGATGGGTATATAGGTGTACACACATTTAAATAAGGAAATAAATGAACTTAAATAAGAGAAGGAAAGAGGGCAAAGAAGGGGAAAAAAGGGGGAAAAGGGAGAAAAAAAAGGGAGGGAAAGCGGAGAAAAAGGGGGG